GGGAGTCTTGAGAGTGAAGCTTGTGGCAGTCCTGTCCAGGGAAACATACAGACAAAAGAGGAGAAGTACTATCCACAGTATGGCAATATGAAACCAGAACTGGACACTGGGACAATAGTGCAGATGAGTGGAAGTCTATTGAGCGTAGGTAGTGGCAGTCCTCTCCAGGGAAACATACAGAAGAAAGAGGAGGAGCATGAGCCACATTATGGCAATATGAAATCAGAACCAGACACTGAAATGTTAGTGCCATTGAGTGGGAGTCCAGTGAGTGAAGGTTGTGACAGTCCTCTCCCGGGAAATGCACAGATTAAAGAGGAGTACAATCCACATCATGGCAATATTAAACCAGAACCAGACACAGAGGAAAAACATAACGATGATGTCAAGACAAAGTCAAACACTGAAGATGCTCAGCACTTAGTCCCAGATGTGGCTACAGGACTCCTTGGGTATATGCCAGTGGTAGTTTTGCCAAACTTTGTTGGACCGCAGGCGGGATTGCAAAACCAGTATGTCCAGTGTTACATCCTGGCAGAACCACAAGGACCTGCTATACGTCCTGACATTGTGAGTAACATAACACCCAGACTGAACACTGAGGGTGTTCAGTATTTAGTCCCAGTTCAAGCAGTCGGATGCCCCATGGTAACCATAGGTCCAGGCAATGAGAGCACATTGATCAAACAAGGGCAAGAAAATGTGCCAGCTGACTTACAGCAAGGTGAAGTTCACAGAAAATGAAGTGGGCATCTAACAGTAATGAAATCCTTAAGCCTCTAAATTATAGTTTCACACTAAACAGATGCTATTAGCTGCCTTGGTTTCTATGGAACTGTATTGAGAATGTAATTCGTGACTTATTTCAGGAATGTATACTTTAAAAAGCTCGGGTAAACTCATACTCAAGAAATGGAGGCCTAACAGATGGCTAATGCATAAGGTTGTAAATATTCTGCTTTGAAGTTTTGTTGTAAAAAGGACAAGTTGAAAATACATTACACTTTTTTATGTTTCTTTTTTCTGCAGTCAGTAGTCTGCGGTCTTTTCATTTGTAAGAATTTGTATCAGACACTGTGGCCTTTGAGAGCCAAAAAGACGGACTGATCGGAGGAACATGTTTCATGGCAAAGAGCTGTCAATATTGTGCTTTACCTTTTTGTGTTCTAAAAAAATGGACAATATGAAAATTCAGAAAGTTATGAAAGTTTTTTGTTTCCTTTTCTTTTGGTCAATTGAGACTGGACATTGCTGACTTTGTGGATATCAAATAATTGTATTATAGTCATGTGAGACGGTCTCGCCTTACTTTAAAAGTGCCTGTTCTGTTTTTTTTTCCTGATCATTTTATACATAGATTAATGTCACTTTTATTTTTGAAAAAGGAAAAAAGTTTGCAACGAAAAGATTTTGTAAATGACACAAACGGTGGACACTGTGAATCTGTCATAAATTTGTAAATATGAGTGTGTCCATACTTTGTTCTTAATTGGTAACCGCAGCATTTCATGGATATACAGGATAACAGAAATCAAAATGACCTGTATCTGGATGGACTTGTCTATTGCTCATTGCTGTTTTAGTACATTTATATAAACTTTGAAAGCATCCTCTTCTGTGTACTCATTTCAAATACTGTAAAATTGTATTATAAATGATATGGTTGTGATTTATGACCATTTGCTTATAGAGATAGATCTCAAGTCTTTTGCATTTGCTCATCTCTACTTTAGGAGTATTAAACCAACTGTTTTATCTTAGGGTGTTTTGACACTTGGTCCTTTTCAGTCCTCTAAATGGACTCAGAGCTGTGACTCGGCATTTTTGCGCATATGGGAGCACTCCAAGAGAACTCAGACCCCTCTGAAGGGAACTGTACTTAGACCACCTCGGAAAGTGGTCTGAATATAGTTTGCTTCAAGTCTGCGATGCGGTTCTCTTAACCTGTGCAATGTGAACACAAAGTGCTCCAGGTTCACTTTGCTCTTTGTCATTGTATTTACCCCTTTAGATCACATGCTGTTGCACTGGGACACTTGAAAAACATCGAGTAAACATAACAATAAGCAAATCAATATAATAAGTGGCATGTGCATGAGGTACGTTCAAACATTTTGAAGCTGTGTAACAATTAATTTAATTTTGCTGAGTTTCATCATCATGACATAAAATTATTTTCACGATTACACATTTCTTAATACATTCAAAGTTCTATGATCGGTTGATTTCACTGTCTTATTTACTTATTTTTCTTCTTTCCTTTTTGTAACAACCAATCACAGCTTTTAGAGGACTGCGTCATACCTAGCAATGGGGTCAACCACACCTCCTCACTAAGATAAAAGTTTCTGTTCCCTCCTTGCTCAGAGTTGCTTTCAGAAACTTCCTGAATCACTCTTAAGCTAAGATTCCTTGCAAGGAATTTTTAGGCTAAGTTAGGAGCTCTCTGAGAGGACTCTGAGAATCTTTGTGAATACAGGCCCTGGACTATTCAGGTTATGTGACTCTTGACTTGTGTAATACCCAAAGTGGGCTCTTGGTGGTGCTCCACACCAGCACCTTGCTTTGTGTTTCCTTCAGGGACATCAAAGCCCGTCCAGTCTGAAGAAGACAACGGATAACTGCATCTCTGAGGAATTCAGTCATCCAATAGGCTGGATGGGGAAAAAGTAATGATACAAAGTTAGCTAAACAGAATTATTTGGGTTTTATATTTATTCCTGTTTTTTCTACAAACAGCTCAGGACAAAGCAGCTCGAACATGACCTGACAAATAAAATGTGTAGTCAAAAATAAGAGAAAAAAATACATCCATCCCCAACCCCTATTACCTCCTGCAACCACACAAAGGCAGCAACAAATTAATAAACAAATAGGTTATACAGGCAAATGGCATAGTTAAAAGAAGACTGAGATACAGGCAATGTACAAAGACTGGCCAAGCAGATATGGGCACCCCTGTAACATGGAAGATGACCGTGTATGTCCAGTGTACTTAAAGGAAGGGTCCTAGACTTAATAAAAAGTCTCTATGGAGGAGTGAAGCATACAGGAGATATATTCATTGGGAACACTTCATTATAAGGTTGTACCATGACTTTTTTTGAATCCTTAAGAGCAGAATATTTTTCCCAGCAGCAAAAATCAGAAGATTGAAGAGTCTCTTATGTTTGATATTTGTAATATAAACATCCAGGAGACCCAGTAAGAGGTGTCAAATATGACACATTGTTCATCCACACTACTAAACTGATAGCTTTGTAGCTTCACACATGTCCAAAAACAGTGATTGTATCTTCCAGACTCAGAGTTAACACTCACAGCAGAGAGGAGAAATATTAGCGTCCATTTTGTTTTGAGAGCACTTGAAAAGAATTATATGGTCAAATCTCACGTAGACCTTACATAAAAAATAATGTCCATCTTTGACTTTAGCCCTTAAAGTGGCCATGTCTATCTCAGTAATTAGTGTGAATGAAGCACATACCAGGTCTAATTAGGGGCCAGGCAGCTTAAGCTGCCAGGACCTTCTTCTTCTTCGTCTTCTTCCTCCTCTTTTCTTCCTCTTCCCTCAGCCAAAGAGCATGGATACCAAGAGGTGAAGCTCAATAGAACGCCCCATAGCAACAGACTCGCCCATGGTTTGGGCCTACCACTGCCATTTTGGACTGTCAGCAGACCGCAGCAGACCCGCTTGCATACAAAAACACACAGACAAACTGAATTATATCGCTATTAATTATGCTTACAATGCTACTCACCTCGTGATAGCTTGGTCACAGCTGCTTTTTCACGTTTTTGTAAAGCAAAATATAGACTTTACTTACTTTAAAAACGAAGAAAAACGGCCTAGATGGCATCTCTACATATTACATCNGTATATGCCAGTGGTAGTTTTGCCAAACTTTGTTGGACCGCAGGCGGGATTGCAAAACCAGTATGTCCAGTGTTACATCCTGGCAGAACCACAAGGACCTGCTATACGTCCTGACATTGTGAGTAACATAACACCCAGACTGAACACTGAGGGTGTTCAGTATTTAGTCCCAGTTCAAGCAGTCGGATGCCCCATGGTAACCATAGGTCCAGGCAATGAGAGCACATTGATCAAACAAGGGCAAGAAAATGTGCCAGCTGACTTACAGCAAGGTGAAGTTCACAGAAAATGAAGTGGGCATCTAACAGTAATGAAATCCTTAAGCCTCTAAATTATAGTTTCACACTAAACAGATGCTATTAGCTGCCTTGGTTTCTATGGAACTGTATTGAGAATGTAATTCGTGACTTATTTCAGGAATGTATACTTTAAAAAGCTCGGGTAAACTCATACTCAAGAAATGGAGGCCTAACAGATGGCTAATGCATAAGGTTGTAAATATTCTGCTTTGAAGTTTTGTTGTAAAAAGGACAAGTTGAAAATACATTACACTTTTTTATGTTTCTTTTTTCTGCAGTCAGTAGTCTGCGGTCTTTTCATTTGTAAGAATTTGTATCAGACACTGTGGCCTTTGAGAGCCAAAAAGACGGACTGATCGGAGGAACATGTTTCATGGCAAAGAGCTGTCAATATTGTGCTTTACCTTTTTGTGTTCTAAAAAAATGGACAATATGAAAATTCAGAAAGTTATGAAAGTTTTTTGTTTCCTTTTCTTTTGGTCAATTGAGACTGGACATTGCTGACTTTGTGGATATCAAATAATTGTATTATAGTCATGTGAGACGGTCTCGCCTTACTTTAAAAGTGCCTGTTCTGTTTTTTTTTCCTGATCATTTTATACATAGATTAATGTCACTTTTATTTTTGAAAAAGGAAAAAAGTTTGCAACGAAAAGATTTTGTAAATGACACAAACGGTGGACACTGTGAATCTGTCATAAATTTGTAAATATGAGTGTGTCCATACTTTGTTCTTAATTGGTAACCGCAGCATTTCATGGATATACAGGATAACAAAAATCAAAATGACCTGTATCTGCATGGACTTGTCTATTGCTCATTGCTGTTTTAGTACATTTATATAAACTTTGAAAGCATCCTCTTCTGTGTACTCATTTCAAATACTGTTAACTTGTATTATAAATGATATGGTTGTGATTTATGACCATTTGCTTATAGAGATAGATCTCAAGTCTTTTGCATTTGCTCATCTCTACTTTAGGAGTATTAAACCAACTGTTTTATCTTAGGGTGTTTTGACACTTGGTCCTTTTCAGTCCTCTAAATGGACTCAGAGCTGTGACTCGGCATTTTTGCGCATATGGGAGCACTCCAAGAGAACTCAGACCCCTCTGAAGGGAACTGTACTTAGACCACCTCGGAAAGTGGTCTGAATATAGTTTGCTTCAAGTCTGCGATGCGGTTCTCTTAACCTGTGCAATGTGAACACAAAGTGCTCCAGGTTCACTTTGCTCTTTGTCATTGTATTTACCCCTTTAGATCACATGCTGTTGCACTGGGACACTTGAAAAACATCGAGTAAACATAACAATAAGCAAATCAATATAATAAGTGGCATGTGCATGAGGTACGTTCAAACATTTTGAAGCTGTGTAACAATTAATTTAATTTTGCTGAGTTTCATCATCATGACATAAAATTATTTTCACGATTACACATTTCTTAATACATTCAAAGTTCTATGATCGGTTGATTTCACTGTCTTATTTACTTATTTTTCTTCTTTCCTTTTTGTAACAACCAATCACAGCTTTTAGAGGACTGCGTCATACCTAGCAATGGGGTCAACCACACCTCCTCACTAAGATAAAAGTTTCTGTTCCCTCCTTGCTCAGAGTTGCTTTCAGAAACTTCCTGAATCACTCTTAAGCTAAGATTCCTTGCAAGGAATTTTTAGGCTAAGTTAGGAGCTCTCTGAGAGGACTCTGAGAATCTTTGTGAATACAGGCCCTGGACTATTCAGGTTATGTGACTCTTGACTTGTGTAATACCCAAAGTGGGCTCTTGGTGGTGCTCCACACCAGCACCTTGCTTTGTGTTTCCTTCAGGGACATCAAAGCCCGTCCAGTCTGAAGAAGACAACGGATAACTGCATCTCTGAGGAATTCAGTCATCCAATAGGCTGGATGGGGAAAAAGTAATGATACAAAGTTAGCTAAACAGAATTATTTGGGTTTTATATTTATTCCTGTTTTTTCTACAAACAGCTCAGGACAAAGCAGCTCGAACATGACCTGACAAATAAAATGTGTAGTCAAAAATAAGAGAAAAAAATACATCCATCCCCAACCCCTATTACCTCCTGCAACCACACAAAGGCAGCAACAAATTAATAAACAAATAGGTTATACAGGCAAATGGCATAGTTAAAAGAAGACTGAGATACAGGCAATGTACAAAGACTGGCCAAGCAGATATGGGCACCCCTGTAACATGGAAGATGACCGTGTATGTCCAGTGTACTTAAAGGAAGGGTCCTAGACTTAATAAAAAGTCTCTATGGAGGAGTGAAGCATACAGGAGATATATTCATTGGGAACACTTCATTATAAGGTTGTACCATGACTTTTTTTGAATCCTTAAGAGCAGAATATTTTTCCCAGCAGCAAAAATCAGAAGATTGAAGAGTCTCTTATGTTTGATATTTGTAATATAAACATCCAGGAGACCCAGTAAGAGGTGTCAAATATGACACATTGTTCATCCACACTACTAAACTGATAGCTTTGTAGCTTCACACATGTCCAAAAACAGTGATTGTATCTTCCAGACTCAGAGTTAACACTCACAGCAGAGAGGAGAAATATTAGCGTCCATTTTGTTTTGAGAGCACTTGAAAAGAATTATATGGTCAAATCTCACGTAGACCTTACATAAAAAATAATGTCCATCTTTGACTTTAGCCCTTAAAGTGGCCATGTCTATCTCAGTAATTAGTGTGAATGAAGCACATACCAGGTCTAATTAGGGGCCAGGCAGCTTAAGCTGCCAGGACCTTCTTCTTCTTCGTCTTCTTCCTCCTCTTTTCTTCCTCTTCCCTCAGCCAAAGAGCATGGATACCAAGAGGTGAAGCTCAATAGAACGCCCCATAGCAACAGACTCGCCCATGGTTTGGGCCTACCACTGCCATTTTGGACTGTCAGCAGACCGCAGCAGACCCGCTTGCATACAAAAACACACAGACAAACTGAATTATATCGCTATTAATTATGCTTACAATGCTACTCACCTCGTGATAGCTTGGTCACAGCTGCTTTTTCACGTTTTTGTAAAGCAAAATATAGACTTTAAAAAAAAAAAAAAAAACACAAAGAAAAATGGCCTAGATGGCATCTCTACATATAACATCCACTTATGAGAAGATTAACTTAATTACTCCTTCAAAATCACCCCATAAGCCAATCTACCAAAAAAA